CATCCTCTGGCTTCCCTCGCCATTGACAGCGCTCCCACTACTCACTGAGGATCCTGTGGGTGCGTCGGTGTCGTCAACAGGCAGTCCAATTGCCTGTCTTGCCGTCACAAAGACCTCTTGTTCCCAGCGACTTAGTTCTCTACCGCTTTTTGCTTGACGCCGCGATGTGAACTTTGGACGTACGATTGGCTCTAGCAGAGCAGGCTGAAGGGGTCCATAGACGACAGGACCGTCCTCGAACCACCATTGTGTATGGAAGTCCGTCATTTGGAAGTCTTGACCGATGTCCTGGATCCATCGGCAGCGCCTGGCGCAAGGCATTCCCCAGCTACAGCAGTAACCGCAGTTGCACGTCTCTCTAGCAGCTGGACGCTTCTTGTAGGCCTCTTCCCAACGCTGAAATGTCTTGATTAATGCGATGCGACTGATCTTTCCTCGGACGGCCGCAAAGGCTGTGCCTTCCATGCATTCAGCAGGGATGCGCTCTCTCTCATTGTGCTTGGCCTGATCGATCTTACGCATCTGATCGTTGAAAGCATCCTTCATCTGCTTAACGCAGTACGCCAGCCCTGCTTTATGCTGATCCAACCACAATCGCTTTAAGACAGCGTGCGCCCCTTCCACGCAAGAGGTACCGCTAGTGCCAAAGGTCATGATGCGTTGAATGTAGACTTGGACGAAGCTCTCTTTGTCGCTCAAAGCCCCCTTGACAAATTCGATGACGTGCTGATTGTCAAGCCAAGAGAGCAGAAGAGCGTTGTAGGCTTCATTGAGGGCGTCGAACGTCTCAGCATAGACGCATGCTTCCCATTGGTGCTGAAGCAAGTCCCACCCATCGGTTGTCGGTATTGCTCACCGACAGAGAGATTCAAGATTTTGATAGATGTGCCAGCGACAGAGCAGTGCATTTGCCTCCGGGAAGACTAGCCTTATGGCATTGCGCAATGCCTGCTCACAATCAGTGATTATAGTCACCGGGCTGTGATCATTGAGACAAGTGCGCAGTCGTCGTAAAGCCCATTCGTAGTCAGACTCTTGCTCTCCTGTGAGAAAGCAGTACCTGGCAGTGAACGTTTGCTGGATGCAGGTGACGCCTACGATGTGGAAGAGTGGCATCCTGCAGACGTTGGTCTTGTAGGTACAGTCCATGTAGAGGACTGAAGGGTAGCGACGGAGCAGCTCGCTTGAAGACACCGACGACAGCCAGAGAGCTGACAGATGACCGCTCTCTTCGCGATTGATGGTGTACTCTAGGCCTTGAGCATTCTCTCCCTCCAACCAGCACAGCAAGTGATGCATGGGCGCCTGGAGAGGTCCCTGGCCTTCAAGCTTCCTTTTGACCCGATGCCTGGCGTTCTGAATGTCGTAATTGTGGAACTTGCGCTTCAATGTATCTCCTTCATGTAACTTCTTTGTGATCTGGACGGCCTTAGCGCCCTGAGCGTGCATCAAATAGATCAGCTCTTCTTGCACTTGATCCAGCTTCCGATGCTGAGGGAAGCGCTGAGGATCCAGGGCTGGTGGATGGTTGTGCGCCCCTTGAACAATCTTGACTTGCCAAACGGGAGGCAATGGTGCGGCTCCTGTGGCCGTACAGAACATGCGTCAACATGCTGTGTCCTGTCTTTCTGTACGGCTCTCAGAGCCGTACACTCACCTTCTTGAGTTGGACCATGACACCCTAACCGCTCTGCCATCACCTCGAACGCGCACCCAGTCATCCTAGAGTCTCTCTGACGCAGTGATCCACTCTTTGGAGGCTTCATATGAGGATCATAGGCCCTTCCCTTTGCGCAATGCCAGCGAACAACGCTACGGGTGCCTGAACCGTCACCCTTCAGTGAGACAGCACACCCCTCACTCAGTGAATGAGCCTTCAGATGT